TGTGCACCACCATGACCAGCTAATTTTTGTATTTTTTTTTAGTAGAGATGGGGTTTCACCATGTAGGCCAGGGTGGTCTTAATCTCTTGACCTCGTGTTCTGCCTGCCTTGGACTGCCAAAGTGCTGGGATTACAGGCGCTGATTATCTTTTATACATTGATTTAGGTAGGGGAGGGGAGTACCTAGCTGAAGCAGAATTTTACAGAAGCAGAAAAGTAGGTTAGAGGAAGGGGCTGTGGGCACAGCTGTCGCCAAGAAGAGGGGTGTTCAGACTCCTTCTACACAATGATCAAAGGGAAATATTTTTCTTACAATAGTGGGGTGGGGGATATGCCAAGCAGGATGCGGTTACAATGGTGACAAATGTTAGGAACAGTAGCTTCAATGCTTCTAAGTGCAGCATGACCCAGTTATGCACTCAGAGGGGCTATGGTAAGGGAGGGGGAAGCCAGATTGGAGTTTACAGCTAAGATGGAGTCAGTGATGCTAGTCCAGGGTAGGTTATTACGTTCCCCACCAGTGGACAGCCCATCAGATGACTATTTCTATGGAAGAGACAAAGGGCACTCTACTAAGCAATAAGGAATAAGCAGGCGAAGGAGGGATTAACCTCATTTTGTCTGTCCTTTGCAGGCTGGAATTGCCTCTAGGACAGGATAGTGTAGAACCTTGTCCCCCAGCAGCAAAGAAAACAGTAGAATCCCAGGAAGCCAGAGGCCAGGCAGCAGCAAGGCAGAAGCAGAGTGGGCCAAATTTCCAAGACTTAAAAGATGGAAGAATTTGGTTCCATCATATAACAATTTGTAGGGTACAAGCCCCACATCCCATCTGTGGGTAACCCCAGTTCAGTGGTGACAAAGGAATGAGAAAAAGATTAAGAGAGACAGTGGGATCGGGGGACCATCACTTTTTACTGGAGGCATGAAGGTCCCGAGCTCTGGCTTCCACAGTATTTATTGAACACAATCACTTTTATCGATAGTGCAGGTGGCAGGGATGAATCAGGTGAAGAGAGGCTGTGCATCAAACATAAAATTGATAGCAGTAGCAGTTTATGTGAGTTTCTGATGAGCTAATAGCGTATGCTTATCAATAGACAGTGCACCTGGTGGGAGCGGGCTCTGCAAGGAGCCTACATGTCTGGTTATATTCCAGTGCTTCAAGGGAGTGTTATGTCCTTGGGCACTGTGTTTAGAATATCAGCACTTAGGACACTCTGCTCCTGGGAATATGCTGGCATAGAGAGGCCTTCCTCCCCAGAGGCCTCCACGGCCTTCCGTAGTTTATTGTTCCGGATTTCTTTTATACATTACTTAAATTAGATTACTTATAGCCACTTTATGTTACACAGTACTTAAAACCAGTTTATGTTACACATTACTTATAACCAGTTTATGTTACACATTACTTATAACCAGTTTATGTAGGCACACTGTAAACCCTTCCTCCATTGCTGCGTAACTTATAACCAGTTTATGTAGATACACTGTAAACCCTTCCTCCATTGCTGCTTCCCCCAACATCTCCCCGTTTCTTTTTTATAAAACCGCCATTGCTATCGTGGCTTGTTCACGGCGTTGGGTTTTATTACCTGAATTATATAAAAAATACTAAGACCAGAAATCATATGTCCATAAAGGAAAGAAATACATGCCCATTATGTGAAATGTTTTGTTACTTCTGCCCCAACACCAGGAGTCCTCACTGCAATGGTGATAACCGTCGCTCAGGATAAGGTTTTAAATGTCTTGGTGGTTCCCACATCAGTTGCTGATTTGGACCTGGAGAGACACAAGCAAATCGTCTCCCCCATGTTATTACGTTGTCTTTTCCCCAGCTGTTTGTTAATGGGTCTCACCATCAGATTACTCGCTCTAAGTTCTCTTCTTCAGATTGTGTATTCAGCTGTTGTTTAGCTGCTGCTATTTGTTGTCCCCTTGGCAAGCTTAAAAAGTTTTAAGTTAATAATGCGAAGTTAAATTGCATTTAGTGGGTTCTATATTCCCTGTGCCCCCCCGCCCCCACCTTTTTTTTGTAAATGCTGTGTAAGGAAAATATTTGTTTTACAATAGCCTGTTTTTGTAACTGAGTTTTTAATGTTTTATTGGCTCTTTTAACAATAGCTTGGCCTTGTGAGTTATAAGAAATTTTAGTAGTATGACCAATTTTTTATTGTAACAGAAACTTGTAGAAAGCTTTGCTGTTGTAACCAGGGCCACTGTCTGTTTTAATTTTTTTGTGGAGTGCCCATAACAGCAAAGTAAAATAACAGGTGTTTTTTTTAACATGAGCTGTCCTTTCTCTGATTTGGCATGTAGTTAAGATGAAATGAGAGAAAGTATTAACAGTAACATGTAAGAAACTTTCATAATCGTTGTAACAGAGCAGGTTAGTGCTTTAAGAAAAACCTGTTGTGTTTATTTTAATGTTTGGTTCACAGAACACTAGATGATACTTTTAACTATTATGTTTACACACAGATTTTGTTTTTACAATTAATGTTTTAAAACTTGTTTAGACCTTTAAACCAAAATGTATACAATCTACTTGTATAAATTTCCTTTTATAACATTTTTACAACTTTTAGTGACAAACAGACATGCTAAACTGTTTTGTTTTGTAACCTTTTTAATTAACGGTGCAATTTTATAGCTTTTAAAACGTTTCTTTCTATCTTTCCTCTTTTCTAATTTTTGTTTTTGTCTTTGGTTAAGTAGTGCTGTTATTATTTGTAATTTTTCTTGCTTATTGCTATAAGGTAATGGCCTGGGCAGTGAGCTGTGAGCTAGAGATTCGACTTAGTAAAGCTGTTTTAAGATTTTGTTGCCAATAAACTGAGCAAGCCAAGTTACTTACAATATTTATGGGCTGAGTAGAAAAAAATTTTAATGCTAATATTACCGCTTTAATTTTAGCTCTTTGACTGCCTCGTAAACTGAGATTGGATGGTTGAATTATGTAGTTTTTATTAGACTGCAGCTTTTGTTTGCTTGTTTACCCGACCTATTAGTGAATAGTGGAGAATCGCAATACTGCTTCGAATTGCTCTTTTTGCAAAGGAATTTTGGTGATGTTAGGATTAACTTAGCCATTTACTGCATTAATCATTAAGATGGCAAGTTGAAATTGGTAACATAGAGTTTTAAAAAGAAATTTGAAAACATTCCTGGAAGCAGAAACTTAAATAATATACTTTAACCATGTGTTTAAAGCCACGGGCAGAATAGCTTAAATCTAGCAATTGAATTTTTAAGTTAAATTTATGGACTTTAAACTGGCAAACTGTTTTGAAAACAGTTACTCACTAGCCAAGCAAAGACTATCTTTAATTAGTCCTATGAATATGTTTTTTGTTACCACTTTCTTTTTCTTTTTTTTTTTTAAGGTAGAACCTAGCATTTTATTTAGATCTTCATTCAACTGTTGGAATTGAGAAGCAGACATACGTAATAAACCTCCAAAAATAGATCCTGAAAGGCACTTTCTGCTTAGGGCAAGCGGTCATGGAATAAGCATGTAAAGAAGCTGGCTTCTCTGTACCACACCAGCCAAGTCAGCTTTCTCCATGGCCAGCCGCACCAGCTCTGCCCTCCCTTCCGTTAACACCAGCCAGACCCCCTGTAGGTCTAACCCAAGGTTTTTCTGTAGGACACCTTGGCCTACCTGGGAATGCTGGAAACATGTTAAAGGAATCATAGTGTTGAGAGAGAAAAAAAAAATCTTTTAAAAGCTGCCATCTGAGGGGATGGCTTCTCTGTACTTATGCCATACCCCAGAATACAATAAATAAGCAATTAGAAAAGGTTCAAGTATGAAGGCATTTCCTCCTCCACGCCAAAAGCACTGCTCTCTGAAGGAAGCTGGTTTCTCTGTAGCTACACCAGCTGTTCAGAAAGCTCATTGGACCTGGTTTTGAAAATAAAACAAAGTTAAAACCCTGGGAGGAGTTATTGTGCAGTGTGGAGTACTCAGGCTTTCTTATAAAGAAAAAAAAAAGTTATCAGGTACCAAAGTGTGCAACCTACAGACCCTCAGGTACTGCCCTGTGACTTCTCTGTGTGACATCACAAGGCTGCCAAGTGCCTGTTTTTCTAGAACTAGGAGTTGGTGAGGTTTGGCTAGTGCTGAAACCAGGCATAGGATTGGTTTACTAAATTAAAACCTTATTACGTACGTCCTCCAAAAGACAGCTGAAAGTGGAGAGATTTTGATTTGATGCTGTTAGAGGTGGCAATTAACAGCATAAGCACCAGGGAGATGGTTTAATGGTAACTGCCTTTTTTTGATGTCAGGCTAGAGCTCCAACTGGGAACTTGCGTTACACATAAGATTGATTGGATAGGGAACACTCCCTGACAAAGAGCTACATAATTAGAAATGGATCAAGTTACAGGGAGGATAAGGGGAAGGCTTCACAATCATAATAGAGCTCAAGACATTACAAATTCACGCTGACAGGGCTGTGGCATTGCTGGACAGAGGCTACAAGCGGAACTACAAGTACGTTACGTGCACATTACAAGGACATTTTCAGCATCTGGTGGGAAAGTCAATGCAATTAGGACTTTGGAGCGTCGGGTGACAGGGCGCAAAGGTTCAATTTCAAAGCATTATTTACTACAGTGTTGTTTCTAGGCAGTTACATGGATCACCTGTGCTCACTAAATTCATTATAATGGTGAACAAAACACCTAGGGACAGGATAGCAAACCCAACTTACAGTTCCCCACAAAAGCTAAAATTCATGTCATCGACTAGAGTGACTGCAACTGTCAGGAGCTGAAAGAGGACAGAAAAATTTAGGAAGGAGGGCCCTTTCCCTCAGAGCTTGAAGGCTTCTCTGTAGCCTACGCCAATAAGTCTGGGGAAAAAAGGCTAACACTTTCAATATTTAAGCTTTTTGGGCACTTCCCATGGGAAGCTGTCCCTACCAAAGTGGCCATAGGCTGCAGTCCTCTGATAAATTGGCTTCTTCAGATCCAGATTCCTGACAATGACCTCAGGGCGGAGATCGAAATTCTTCTTCACAATCTACTAGCTCTCTCTCACTCTTCTGAGAGGTATTATAATGGAAAATGGAGATAGATAATGGATGAGAAACCCCAATAGCGTAAGAGACCTGAACAAGAACCCTCCGGCACAGACCTCCTTTAACAAGGGATTTTACCACCCAACGAGCAGCATAAGCAGCTGAACGGTCGACCTTGGTATAATTCTTTCCTGAAAAGGCACCTCCTCCATGAGCACCCCAACCGCCGTAAGTGTCCACAATGATTTTCCGTCCAGTCAAACCAGCATCACCCTGAGGCCCACCAATAACAAATCTGCCACTTGGCTGTAGGTGGTAGATTGTATCCTCATCAAGGTAATTTGCAGGCACAATGGCTTTGATGACTTTCTCCTTTAGGGCATCCCTCATCTCATCAAGACAAACCTCTTCAACATGCTGAACAGATAAAACAATTGGCCGGGCGCATGGCTCACGCCTGTAATCCCAACACTTTGGGAGGCCGAGGTGGGTGGATCACGAGGTCAGAGATCAGGACCATCCTGGTCAACATGGTGAAACCCTGTCTCTACTAAAAATACAAAAAATTAGCTGGGCATGGTGGCGTATGCCTGTAATCCGAGCTACTCAGGAGGCTGAGGCAGGAGAATTGCCTGAACCCAGGAGGCGGAGGTTGCAGTGAGCCGAGATCGCGCCATTGCACTCCAGCCTGGGTAACAAGAGTGAAACTCTGTCTCAAAAAAAACAAAAACAAAAACAAAACAAAACAAAAACAATTGTGTAGACTCTGATGGGAAGCACAGCATCTCGATCCTGCATGTACTGCACAGTAACTTGAGTTTTAGCATCAGGGTGTAACCAAGGCAAAGTGCCATTACGCTGTAGTTCTGCCAGTTTGGCATTAAGCTTGTGTGCCAAGACAATGGTTAAAGGCATACACTCCTCAATTTCATCAGTTGCCTAGCCAAACATCAAGCCCTGGTCTCCAGCACCAATGTCTTCTTCATTTCTGTCGAGATGAACACCTTCAGCAATACCTGGTGACTGTTGTTCAAGGCTACCAGCACATTACAAGTTTTGTAGTCAAACCCTGTGGAAGAATCATCACATCCAATGTGTTTAACAGCTTCACGAACCACTTTCTGGTAGTCAACAGCAGCTCTGGATGTAATTTCCCCAGCAAGAAGGATCATTCCAGTTTTAGCAAGTTTCACAAGCAACTTTGCCATCAGGATCCTGTTGAAGGTGGGCATCAAGGATGGCATCACTTATCTGGCCACAAATCTTATCTGAGTGACCTTCCCCCACCGACTCTGAGGTGAAGAGGAACGTGCCCTCCTCGATGAACGCCTCGTGGAAGCCGTTGAGCCGCCCGTTCATGCTGGTGTTGGTGTCGGTGTTGGTGAGTGGACGTGGCATTGAGAAGAACAGCGGCGAGGCGGCGGCTGCGAAATGCGCAAGCTGTGGACAGCGTCCTACTCGGAGGGGGCGGCGCGGACAGAACCTACCACACTTTCATACAATTTTCTTTTACTTTTTCAGAATGGGCTTAATATTTTTCGTTTTAACTTAACTAATATTATTTAATTTGGTTTAACGTTTTCCTTTAAAGGGTGTAGTTTTATATGCTCAGCTTTTAATTGCCTTTTAACTAATTTGTGAGCCTTCTTTTAAAGTTGATTGAAATTTATTATCTAAATTTACAAAATTAAGTGTAAATAAGGCTTGTGCCAGTAGTGTTGCCTTTTAAGATATTACATAGGTTTTGCAACTTAACAGTTAATTAGGAAATTCTTTTCTACTGAGGAGCAAAGCTATATGGCTCGCTTCTAATCGCTCCTTACTAATTTAAGGACTAGCTGTAATTTCTTTCCCTTTAGAGGTTACTTACTGCTTTACTTAAATTAGACTTTAAAAGAGTTACCTTAGAGATAACACAGTAGTTACGATTAGAATTTAAATTTTACTTAAACCTGAGCAGAGAATTACAATTTGGGATGTTACTTATTTACAAAGAACACAAAATTTCCCACGGAACTCCCGCGGCAGCAGTGCGCAGGCGTGTGGACCCGGCCCCGCCCAGCTGCGGCTTGCTGCGTGTTTCCCCGGCAGCACTTACTGGCCTTGGGCTGAACCTGTGGCTTGAACTCCAGTGCTGCAGCAGCAAGTTTTATTTTGAAATGGCTTCTCATTTCACTGTTAGAGGAATGTCAGACGGATCTGGCCACTCTGATAAAATACTGAGGAGAGGATGACAGACTGCTTTTTATCCCCTCCTTTATTATTTCTTTTTCTCAACTGGATTATTTTTAATTTCCTCATGCTAATTATAATCTACCTTAGCTCCTTCTTTATAAAGCGATCAAAGACAAAGCAACAGAAGAACGGGGTAAGAAAGCACATATTCATCGAAAACAACTGACAGAGCAAGTGGCTGGTACTAACTTTAAAGCCCCCTCTTTTTAAGAAGTGCTTCACTAAATGTGAATAAGTGGCATAATTGCTTTCAGCTTGTCCCATTGTTACCCTGGTATCCTTCCGAGCTCTCACTGGTACCTATCAGTAGAGCTGATTAGTTTCATCGTCAGGGTTCCTTTGTCCGTTGTTCCTCCACTTTACCACGTTCAGGCGTTCCTTCACTGAAATTCTTGAGCCCCCACAGTTGGGTGCCAGAATGTAGGAAATAAGCCCCACACCCAACCCGTGGGTACCCTGCGGTCGGTGGTGAGAAAGGAATGAGAAAAAGACAGATTAACAGTGAAAGCGGGGCAAGGGGACCATCATTTTTTACTGGAGGCAGTGAAGGCCCCAAGCTCTGGTTTCCACAATGTTTATTGAACACAATCACTTTTATCGATAGTGCAGGTGGCAGGGTGAATTGGTGAAGAGAAGCTGTGCATCAAACATAAAATCGATAGTGGTGGTGCTTTATGTCAGTTTCTGATGAGCTAATAGCCCATCAATAGACTTATACTTATCAATAGACATATATTTATCTATTTATCTATAATAGACATATATTTATCTATACTATTGATAAGACTATACTTATCAATAGACAGTGCACCTGGTGGGAACGGGCTCTGCAAGGAGCCTACATGTCTGTTTACTTTCCAGTGCTTCAAGGGAGAGTTATGTCCTTGGGCACTATGTTTAGAATATCAGAGTTTAGGACACTGTGCTCCTGGGAACATGCTGGCAAAGGAAGGCCTTCCTACCCAGAGGCCTCTGAGGCCTTCCACAGTTTATTGTTCCTGATTTCTTTTATACATGACTTATAAAGGTTTTATGTTATACATTACTCATAACCAGTTTATGTAGACACACTGTAAACCCTTCCTCCATTGCTGCTTCCCCCAACACAGTTTAATGCACTAATCTAGTTCTTGCAGTAATTGGACAGATAATTGCAGATGAAAATGGACTAAGGCAGACTCACTCAATAATTAGTCACAACTTTGGGCCAGGCACAGTGGCTCATGCTTGTAAATCTCAGCACTTTAGGAGGCCAAGACAGGTGGATCACTTGAGGTCAGGAGTTCAAGACCACCTTGATAAACATGGAGAAATCCCATCTCTACTAAAAGTACAAAATTAGCTGGACGTCATGGCATACACCTGTAATCCCATCTACTTTCAAGGCTGAGACAGGAGAATCACGTGAACCTGGGAAGCTGAGGTTGCAGTGAGCAGAAATAGTTCCACTAAACTTCAGTCTGGGCAACAAGCATGAAACTCCATCTCAAATGAAAAAAAATCAGTCGCCACTTTATTAACTGGTCTCAATATGATTTTCTTCTTGTTTTTTGAGACAAGGTCTCATTCTGTCACCCAGGTTGAAGTGCAGTGGTGAGATTTCAGCTCACTGCGACCTCCACCTCCTGGGCTCAAGTGATTCTCAGGCCTCAGTCCCCTAAGTAGCTGGGAGTATAGGTGCAAATCACCACACTCAGCTAATTTTTGTATTTTTTGTAGAGACGATGTTTCTCCATGTTGGTCAGTCTGGTTTCAAACTCCTGAGGTCAAGTGATCCATCTGCCTTGACCTCCCAAAGTGCTTGGATTAGAGGCATGAGCCACCTTGCTTGACCAGAATGTTATATTTTTAGTAAATCAGATTTATAGAGAGTCTTCTTCATTGTCTAAGACTACTGATAGGTATAAATGCTTTATTTGCAACACATATGAAAAGAAGGCCAGAGGCTATTTATATTCACAAAGGACAAATAACTCTACATTTTAATTTTTATCCCTAGGATACATTACATCTCCTGCTCGCTAAATTTTGGTAGCACAAATCCACTCCAAAGGGTGAAAAACTATACAAAGATTCAAGCACCTGCTACACTGGTGAGGTTTTGAGGAATCCAGTGGTCTGTGGCATGAGGGTCTACTTCCTCAAAAGTATAAGAGGAAGGTTGTGTATGGTGGCTCACACCTGTAATCCCAGCACTTTGGGAGGAAGAGGTGGTCAGGTCAGATCACTTGAGGTCAGAAGTTCAAGACCAGCCTGGCCAACATCGTGAAATCCCATCTCTACTTAAAATACAAAAATTAGCCAGGTGTGGTGGCGCCCATCTGGAATCCCAGCTACTCAGGAGGTTGAGGTGAGAGAATCACTTAAACAGGAGAGGTGGAGGTTTCAGTGAACAGATATCACGCTACTGTGCTCCAGTGGCAAAAGAGTGAGACCCAGTCTCAAATAAATAAATAAATAAGACAAATTATCTGGTTGCTGGTAAGATGGCCAAATAAAAACAGCTCTAGTGTGCAGCTCCCAGCGAGATCGATGCAGAAGGCAGGTACCTGGTTCCTATAAATGGAACTGGTTGGACAGTGGATGCAGCCCAAGGAGGGTGAGCCAAAGCAAGGTGGGGCATTGCCTCACCTGGGATGTGCAAGAGGCTGAGGAACTCCTTCTAGCCAAGGGAAGCCAATAGGGATTGTCCCCTGCAGTCCAGCCCAGATACTGTGCTTTTCCCATGATCTTCTCAACCCTCAGACCAGGAGATTCCCTCTGGTGCCTGCAACACCAGAGCCCTGCGTTTCCAGCAGAAAACTGGGTGGCTGTTTGGGAAGACATCGAGCTACCCAAGCAGTTTTTTTTCTCATACCCTAGTGGTGCCTGGAATGCAAGCAAGACAGAGCCATTTACCACTCCCCTGAAAAGGGGGCTGAAGCCATGGAGCCAAGTGATCTGCCTCGGTGGGTCCTACAACCACTAAGACCAGCAGGCTAAGATCCGCTAGCTTAAATTCTTACAGCCAACGCAGCAGTCGGAGCTTGACCTGGGATGTTTGAGCTTGGTGAGCAGTGGCGGGAGGGTGTCTTCCATTGCTGAGTCTCCAGTAGGTTGTTTTAACATCAGTGTGAAGAAAGTCACTGGGAAGTTCAAACTGGGTGGAGCCCACAGCAATTCAGAAAGGCCTCTGTAGGCAGACTGTATCACTAGACTCCCTCCTCACTGGGCAAGGCATCTCTGAAAAGAAGGCAGCAGCCTATCAGGGACTTATAAAAGCTCCCACCTTCCTGGAACAGAGCACCTGGGTCCAGGAGGCTGTTGTGGGTACAGCTTCAGCATACTTAAACGTTCCTGCCTGGCAGCTCTGAATAGAGTAGGCGATCTCCCAGCACAGCATTCCAGCTCTGATAAGGGACAGACTACTTCCTCAAGTGGCTCCCTGACCCCTGTGAAGCCTGACTGGGAGAAACCTCCCAATAGGGGCCAATGACACCCTATATGGGAGAGCTCTGTCTGGCATCTGGTGGGTCCCCTTCTGAGATGAAGCTACCAGAGGAAGGAACAGGGAGCAATCTTTGCTGTTATGCAGCCGCCACTGGTGATTTCCAGGCAAACAGGGTCTGGAGTAGACCTGCAGTAAACTCCAGCAGACCTACAGCAGAGGGGCCTGACTGTTAGAAGGAAAACAACAAACAGAAGGAACTAGTCTCAACATCATCAGAAAGGATGTTGATTCAGTCACACCATCCAAAGGTCAGCAACTTGAAAGACCAAAGGTAGATAAATCCAAAAGATGAGAAGAAACCAGTGGAAAAAGGCTGAAAATTCCAAAACCCAGAATGCCTCTTCTCCTCAAAGGGATCACAACTCCTCACCAGCAAGGGAAGAAAACAGGGGAGAAGGAGTTTGATAAACTGACAGAAGCAGGCTTCAGAAGGTGGGTAATAACAAACTTCCCTAAGCTAAAGAAGCATGTTCTAATCCAATGCAAGGAAGCTAAGAACCTTGAAAATATAGATGAAATGCTAACTGGAATAACTAGTTTAGAGAAGAACATAAATGACCTGATAGAACTGAAAAACACAGCATGAGAACTTCGTGAATCACATATAGTATCAATAGCCAAATCGATCAAGTGG